ATCTGCATTGGCGATTCTCCACCTTCTATTAACTCTAGTTCTTCCTATTCAGCACCTGTGCAAGAAAAGAAACGCAAGGCTAAAGCACGCCTTCGTAAACGAAAGCGACATAACAAAGCGAAAAAACGAAATGAGGTCGAAAAGGTTGCTTCTTCCAACTTCTATCCAACTCTCTCCGCTGAAGGAGTAAGTTCACTTTCATCAACTTTTGTGTTAATTTGTTACTTTTCGTACGTGGCTTTTGACGTTTTCGTTGACTTCGTTATCGACTGATTTCCATTCTTGCTTTCTTCCTTCCAAAACTCTCCTTACATTTTAATCTTTTCTCCACGTGACACAGTGCGTAAGATGTCAGCTTTGAACTTGGACTCCGGAGGTGCAAAGTTTGATTCCCACGGAGGGCGATCTTTGTCTTTGCCACGAATTCCCTTGAGCAAGGCATCTGCCCCACGTTGATTCAAAAACGGGGTTACTCTGTCGTTTGAGCGTTCGACTCAGAACCGAGAGATTCTGCGTTCGAGCCTTGGTGGAGGTCACTCGTCCTTCTTCCTTTCGAGGTGGATAAATGAGTACTACTCTGATACGGATTATGCATTGTTGATTTTCCTTTGAAATATAGCTGATATTGCTGGCTAATCAGATGGAAATTGATATCTGCTCCGCGGCCATTAATTTCATGAAAACAGTTCAAGGGTGCTAGAATTTTACGCATCATGCTGGTGTTGGAAGGACTGATCTTGCAGTGGTTAGAGGCTTTCCTTCCTTTCCTCCTTAAACCAAGAACTTAGTGATATTTTGTCTTATTTTGATGTTTTTTAGCTGCATTAAAACTGAATTCTAATTCAATTACCTTATCAAATAATTATCACTGTTATCATTTAACGCCACTGATACAGACACGCCGTACACCACATATTTACTTAAAAACCAAAACTGCTATTTTAAGATGCTGGTAAATTTACTCTGTTGAAACATAATTAGCATGAACATTATGCTACTTGTGTAACGTAGCACTATAAAATGACTCATGATAATGGAATACTGCCGAATGACGTTCGACTCTATATCTAAAAAATTTTTTTAAACCGTAAATCCGTGATTCATACTACTGGTGGCTGTTGAGCGCAGGTGACAGACCAACTCTTCGGTTGAACCAAATGAAAACAACACCGGCGTAACCAATCATCGGTCTTTTTCTGACTAATCATATGCTTT